TTTTTTTAAATTCATTTTCATGCTGTAGCTTCCATGGCATTGCATCAAAAGCTGTTGAAATCTTAAAAAAAGAAAATGTGCGTTAATTGCGAGCATTTTTGTTCACCTTTTTAACAGGCTCCTGAGTCTTATAAAAACGTCACGGATGTCGTTAACACTTGTAAGTATAAGCGTCTCTTGTTGTTCGATGTTACTTGCTTTTTGAGCCACTGTTGCAGAATTGTGTTGTGTTGTCAACGGTTTAAAAAGAAAACAATCCCTCAAGATACATTTTAACTCCAAGAAGTCCCGAGACAATTAGATTCTAACCTAAAGACGACAGCCCGTTGACGATTCAGGATTCCCTACCTTAGACACGAACTCGTTCTTCTGCATTCAAGGTGTCCTATCTGGCTGAGATAACTAAGAGTCGTTAGAGTCAGTTTCTTTTTCCCTCAAAGCAAATCACGTTTTTCCTCTCTGCAATCAGTTCACCTATCTTCAACATCAAACACTGAAGTGCCTCCGTGATCAAGTTTTCACCTCTTTGAACTTGAGAATAGAGAATTCCCCTGTGAAATGTTTGCATTAGTTCCGGAGAAAGTTAAATTTGAAAAAAATCACGAAATATTCTGATCACGAAACTGATGATGTCGTTTACTCGATCCAGCTTGACATCAGGATTGTGTAAACACCCATCTCTGTCAATATACTAAGCTTGAAAAGATGCGTGTCTCATCACAACAGCACTTTTGAAATTCGTCTTTTAATTAACTTTTTGTTAATTTTGTATCGTTTTTTTTTTGTAGTTTTTGTTTTTGTTTTGTAGTTTTTGTTTGTCTGATTGTTTGGTTATTTGTTTTTTTGGCGATGTTTTATCTTTATACTCTAATTTAGGCCATGATGCGGGAATTAGTCAGAAGGCCATTAAACTGAGACCAATCGCTGTTATCAAAGGATAACCGAAAACAAGCGAGTAAATCCCATTCGTCTCGATAAGGACATGAAAGAGTACCCCAACATTACTGGCGTTTCTGTGCTATGCTTCCTATCTTTCCATATTTCTCCCATGGGATAAGCGGTACGTAACGTTGCGTGGCGAGAACTTATTCAAGACAGTTATTACTCTTCCATATCCTTGATTTTGGTTGTCACACGACGCCTCCCGGAGAAAGAGTGGTAGACAGCGCTTGGTGACTTGCAGCCAATCAAGGGAACTTTCACCCTCTCTTCACCTTTTAAATTGCGAGGATTTTCAAGAAAACGATGGTTTTAAGGCAAAAGCAACATGACTCAAGCGAAACAGAAACTGAACGAAAATAAATGGCTGCTATTTCCTCCTTGGGCTTCCTTATTTATTAATCTTATTCAACCAGGGAAGAGTACACGAATTATTATATTTGGTGAAAGCAACCACAACAAGTATTATTAAATTGGTAAGGTCATATATGGTTACTTTGGAGACATGGCAGAATGAGATCAATTTAGATTTAGTTGTTTTTACTCCAGTTACTGAAAATGCATTGGAAAGAAACCTTTTTTTCTTTCGGGAATTGCATCCGTAACTTGCACTACTTCTATAATCTGAAACGAACTTGAAGGTTTTTAATATCTGCAACTTGTTTGTCTCTCGTATTCTAGTTTTTGAAAGTGGTTTGGAAGGTACCATAATGTTGTCACTTTTTGTCGATCTTTTTCACCTTGTATCTAAACAAATTCACGGAACAAATTTGGTGATAGATTTTGAACAACGACCTTTCCTGCGACGCTTTTTCTTCTTACGCTTTTTCTTCTTACGCTTTGTCATTTTGTTCGTGTATTATTTCATGGACTTAAGCTGTAGTAAGAACATTATATACAATTGTTGATACTTGAAAGGACGTGGACTCAGAAGGGAGTGGTATTTTTCAGATTTCGTCTTCCAAAAGCTGCCCAAAAAAAAAGGGACTACTTCGTTGCATTTGGAATTTAGCAAAACACATCTACTTTTGAAATAAATAAATCATAATGTTAGTAAGGATAATGATGATGAAAAAAATTAAAATCTTAATGCTGCAATAATAACTAATGGTAATAGTTACAACAATAATCCTTTAGTGCTACAGGTTCGTGGTTTGGTTTGGTTTCTAGCTGACGGATGTCTTAAAGTACGTTATCATAGGTATAATGACAACAATCATGGTAAAAGCCATTGTGATAAATGATGCTAAACAAAATAAGTTAAGATTCCTTTTAACTGTGTTTATGCAATGACTAGAATGAATACTGTTTACTGCAAAATTATCTCTACACAGCACTTGTAAACTGGTATACAACAGTAGACTGGACAGTTCGATCCAGTATTGGCTGTTTGGCCTCACTCCCTACGCTCCCATTTGTTTTACTCAAGAATGAGATTCTCATTAATGGGTAAGATATCATTCTCCGAAACTCGGCTCTAAATTTCTTCCTAAAGTATATCAGGAGCCAGGGGTTGACAACGCTGTTTGCATGTCCAAGCCAATAGGATAACAGCATGAAATAATATGGCAGGGATAGACTCAGTTTGAAGTCTATGGCCAGAATCATATGATGCGCGTGCGCTGGAAGCCAGCAAAGAGCAAAAGCAACAACGACAGCGATTGACATGTTTATCGCCTTGCGCTTGGTAGCGTTGGTGCGATTTCTTGCGCAATTTTTGATTTCAACTCCCGGTAGTTTATGCTTCTGAAGCGTGTAACAAACATACCCATAGAGGACACAAATGGTAACTACAGGCAGTAAGTAGATGGTGACTACGAGGTAAAGGAACACACCTCTTAAGGCCGCCTGAGTCTCGCCAAACTGACTAAACTTAAATTCTATCCTGGAGTTCTTAACTTTGATTATGACCAGCCATGGGGCCATTAGACACATTGAGATGATCCAAATTGTGGGAACCAAGATCTTTTTGTTCCTAAAGCGAGGGAACTTTTGCATGGGAAAGACAATCCCGAAGAAGAAGTCAAAAGCCACGGCTGTTAGAGAGAAGACGGACGCTGTGACCGCCACGTAAAAAACAAACATGATGAGCTTGGCGAAGAATTCACCAAATGTTCCATCGATCCACAGATTGTCCAAAATGATTAGTTCCATCGACTGAGGCATGACAACAACTGTTACGAGCAGGTCGGCCACAGCGAGGTTGACGTACATGAAGCTTGTTAATCTTCTGGTTTCTGGCCTCTTGTATAGTATATAGATCACCAAAATGTTTCCAACCAAGGCCACTGAAATGATTGCAGTGTATAAGATGGCGAAGGTGAGTTTAATACTTGATGGGTACGAGAATGGAGCCTGCACTGTGGAAGCTAAAACACGATAAAATCAGCGTTAGGACGTCATGGACACAGACAAAACAAATGGATAGTTGAGAAAGGCACTGGGGGAATCAAGTGTGTTATGCTGAACTTGACAGCTTGATCTTGGCTGCTTGCGAACCTAGGCGTTTGAATGTGAAGTGTAGACTGAATGGATTTGGCCAAAACAAAACAAAAACACAAAGCATGCTCTCGGCCCCTTGCGACAAGAACTCAACCACTTTCAGCAACGTTTGAGGCAAGGCGTAGCCTGTTCGCGCAAGACATCCTATGTCAATAGTGACATTTAGCACCAGGGTTTTCAGCGGAAACCTCGAACGGCAAACGGCGGTGGAGGTCACGTGATCAAGCCCTGTGGTCACGTTCGGAGTTCTCAACGCCAAGAGGTAGGTTT